ACCAAGTTCGATGTTGCGAAACTGTTCATTGGGTTTCTTTGGCGAAACGTTCAAGCTGTTGACGTAATTGCAAACATCAAAACCAATTACACAAAAATTGTTGCCTTTTTGTTTTAATTGTAACGTATTGCCAGTGTTTGGTATTTTGGGCTTGATTGAAAGCGCCACAAACAATTACTGAACCTTCGCTTTTCCTAACTGAAAAGTGTGCCCTGTTCGTGTGAAAACCAACATCACTTCATGGCCAACGATGTTCACTGCTAGTGGCAAAATATTTAGTCAGTGATACAGCGAAAGAGAAGTACCGGAGAGGTTTCCTCTGTGGCACGACTAGCATATATACTCGCAAGGTCAGCAGCGCGAAAAGGAGCAAGACGGAGACGAGGGACAAACAACAGCGCAGCTTCACATCCATGGACATGACGGAGAACGAGGAAATGGTGCATACACGACTCCACCAATGCAGAGTATACTGAACACGTGCAGCTACACTTAAAAGAAATGAGCGTGAAACCTTGCAGTGTCCCTAAAAAGGTTCAAAACTGCTATTTAGTGATGACATCCAAAGAATGTGCATCCTACTTTTACCAAGTCATTTCGGCTTTTTGATGAAGACAGTGCAAGCTACGTAGCGGGTGCTAGGTACGTTTAATAAGCTACTGGTCACACTGAATTCTGCAAATCGTAGCTAGGTTGATTTTATGTGGACGCGTTGCTAGAGTCACGTTGCTCGTAGTCAAGTTAGTATAGCTACGTGTCTTTGACGTTTTGGAAGCAGCAGCCGAAGTGTGGAAGTTACAAATAGTCAACTCTGTTACGCGAACGTGTACCCATAAAAATAAACTCTATACAATCATTCAAAGGTGATCTATACTCGTGTAAGATGCGTTGGCTATTTGTCACTGATTCTCGGGCCCGCCCAACAATATGCGCCTTTGTTACGTTACTCATACGATCGGATGGCACGCAAAATTATTTCAGCGGAGTTGTAAATGACACTCCTGCTTGACCTCATGACGTCCGCCCCCCAATTGAAAACTCGCATGGCCCTCTTTGGGCAAAGCACTGACCTCATAGATCACGAAAATATGTGACTTTATCAGTATGCCATCATGATGCTTCAAGATGAAGTGCTTGCAAGACGCCATGATTCACGTCACGAACCGACGTCGTCGTTTCGTCAAAGGTGGACAATCTCGGGGTCATTGCGACGCCACGTGAAAGACAGAATGATTCGGTGCTGTGGTACTCCATCGGTACATGCTTGGCCTCGTCAGTTCAGTCTAGGCACTGCTATGGCGTGGTCGTAAGTCGCAAGCAGACTTCACTACAGCGGCAAGCATGGGTCGACCGCGCATTGTAGGAATGGCTGAGAGGCAGCGAACTAGCGAAGAACGTGGGCGACCGCAGATACGGGAGTGCACCAGTCAGTTTCGCTGCTCTCAATCGAGTAGAATGGCTTCAACTTTTTCTGCCATATAACTGACGATAACATTGCGTAATGATCCGACAGATGAAGGTGCGCCATACGACGAACCCTATACTATAGTATGCTTTAGCGAGCGGAAATTCATCTTCGGGCCTTCATACATAAAATATGAGATGCAAATCTCAACTTCTTTTCAATGGAATTTCACCCGTCGTAATAACTTAGCAGTGAAAGTTTCTCATTCTTAAGCTTGAAGACAGCTCTTCGAGCACCGGCAAAAGCTTTTGGATTTTTAGAGCGGTGTAATTTTAAAGCTTCATATTACCCGCGCACTTTTAGGTGAACGTTTACGGAAACAAAGTTGCGAAATATAATCACGACTCGTTCACTAACGGCGTGCTTCATAAGTTATGCCAGTATCGTGTCTTTGGAAGGTAAATTCTCAAAATCTTTTGGTTGAGGAGGAACAGGAGGAAAGGAAAGGTATGGATGTTAACCAGTCTGAAAGGAACAGTACGCTACCCCACAATGAGAATAGGGATGAGGGAGTTTGAAAGAGAAAAAGAGAAATAAAGGAGAGCACGCACACGCGTTGTGCTCACAAATGCTGATGACTTGGAACATGTTGACATACACTAACTGACGAAAGTCCGAAAAAAAACGCGGTTCTAGTTCACTGACGTTCCACTGAATGATGGATGCAGCCTTCACTTCTTTCTCGGAAATGATGGTGATCGTTAGTCATTTTTATACTCGAGCGATTCAAGTACTAGACTTGAGGCGTTCAGTACTTTGAGAGCGCTTCGAGCAGACGTTGTCCCCATGTCCAACAAGATCTGTCGGACGGCATCCATGAGAGAACGAAGCATAGTTATAACTTTGCCATCCTTCTTATGTGTGTCATCAGCGGTTGGTGAAGGCCCCTGAGTGGGCGTGGTCTTCTGACGTTCTATGCTTAGCGGAAGACTTAAAAAAATAGGCCATTCCTCTGTAAAGGTGCTCCTATTCGCTGTCTTCTTTGGATTTGTCGGTCCAGTTGCGGCTTCACTTATTGGTGCAGCAGTAGAGGTGGCACTGTCGTTTCGAGCTTGCGCAAACCTTTGAGGTCGAACGATGGCGCCGACGCCGCCGGCCTGTTTCAGCAGCATCCTTTTGGGTCGAATTGTCTCTGACCATTTGCTTAAGCTCCGCGCGCTCCTTCTTAATTCGAGGGTGGTCTTTCGATGAGGCAGTGTGTGAGCCATTACAGTTACCGAATTTAAAAATGTTTATTGACACGCATCTTCCGAATGGCGTTCTGCGCACCCGGGGCAGCGTAGCAAGTTCGGGCACACGCGCTTGACATGACCTAGTTTAAAGCACTGGTGATACTGAAGTGGCCTTTGCACAAAAGGCCAAACAGGATGTCGAAAATGTCCGACTTTGACATGAGACGGTGTGCAATCGTCTTTGAAGACCAGTTTCGCACAGCGTGACTTCCCAAGGTGGTGTACCCGAGTGATGACAGTACCCCCATTTGCCGGTTTAATGAGAGTAGGCAAGTCAGCGTCGGGAATCGCAATGTCTACGTCGTATATCACACCGACTATGGATGCGTCGTCAATCGGTATAAAGGGACGCACTTCTATGCCACCTAGCTCAGTCACTTGTTTGAGTGGTCCAAGCGCATTCACGTGGAATACGACAATGACGAGTATATTTTCTCGCGTATTTCCTCTGATGTCCTTGATTTCATTAGGCAACACAGGCTCCAAAAAAAATGGCAGCATATCCACGGAGTGAATGATGGAGAGTGGGGCGAAGAATTCGTCCGTCAATTCGTTCTTGCTTCCGTCCGTCCATGCGTCCGTCAGTGTGACCGTCCATGCGTCCATCAGCCCGTCCGTGCGTGCGTCTGTTCGTGCGTCCGTCTCTGCGTTCGTCCATGCAGCCGCCTCTGCGTCCGTTCATGCGTCCATCCATGCATCTGTCTATATTCCCCATATAGAAGCACCGCCATCAAGCGGACATTCCAAGGACTAAACAAGAGGTGGCACACGCACACTTTCTTACGGCTTGCGCTTCGGGTCCACTTCCCACCTTTAACCACCTCGAGTTCATGGTATATACTAGTTCACTGTATTCATGGCACTGCGGCCGAATGCTCGCTAAACCTTTCGAAAACCAAGGAGGTTACGCCCAGCGAGTATGACGTAGCAAACTTTTTCAGCCAGATAGTGCTCAATGTACATGCGAATGGCTGCTAATGGGAAATGAGAGGCAGAGAATTGGGCTTTTACTTTCTTACGGCTTGCGCTTCGTATCTACTTCCCATTTTTAACCACCTCGAGTTCATTCATGGTATATACAAGTTCATTGTATTCATGGCACTGCGGCTCAACGCTCGCTAAACCTTTCTAAAGCTAAGGAGGTTACACCCAGCGAGTATAACGTAGCAACCCTTTCTTGTCAGATAGTGCTCAATGTGCATGCTAATGGTGATCGCAGCCTGCGCGTTAACTAAAAGCCGAATGCTCCTGTCTCTCATTCCCCATTAGCAGCCATTGACGTGTACATTGAGCACTATTTTTTATTGTTCAACTACGCACAGAAGAAGTCTCTCACCGGCACCACCTTGGAGGTCAAAATGTTATACTTGTTACATACTACGGGGGACGAACGTGTGCCACTATAAGGAGCTTCGACCCTAAAAGCGGGAAGGGCCTGCCTGTTTTGCAGTCGCAGGCTTCCTGAGGACTCTTCTGGCACGATGATGACGCGTGGCCAGCGTTCATGCCTTAACTTCACAGTCGCTGTACTCGCAGAAGTGGGCGAGGCTGCTTTGGCAATCTTCCTCTTCGCCCTCTTGCTATGGGCTGAAAAGAAATCATCGTCGCATGTGTCGTCTTCCGAGGCAGCTGAGTGCAGCTCGGTATCCTCGCTGACACTGAGTGAGGTTGCTGTCTTCCTCGCGGTGGTCAGCCTAAATGACTGCATGCTGGCAAGGGGGTTCCTGAAGGCCCCGCGTCTATGGCTGCAAGACGTGGAGCCGAGGCACCAGGAAAGTCTGAAAGTTTCACCGAAAAGATCGAAGAGCACAGAGAGAAACGCTTGACGGCATAATATGTAGCATGCACAATCAAACGAACGCCTCCGTAGCATGTACAATAGTAGCATGTAAAATCCAACGCCGTGAACTCTGCGTGCATGCGGCATGAACTTCTCTACTGACTTTGTTTATTGTATGTTTTGGCTTTTGTTTCTTTGCAAACAAGGTGAACTTGTATGAATTAGCCAGCATAAAAGGGTCGCGAGGGGGGGGGGGGGCTACTTCGCTTTTGTTGAACGTCGTCTTGCGACAAGGTGGCTGCTGACTACGCGCAGCCACGTGGAGGCGCAATCACTAAGCTTAGGCAGAAAAATGTATACTACCCATCATTCCCCTGCAGGCTCGAGCGACATGCCTTGCCAACCCTCCCACATAACAACGCCAGGTTTCCCTCTGATGCTTTGTTATAGAAACTCTATGTCGATGTCGACATGACCTCCGCACAATGATTGACGTATATGTGGCCGCTGTCGACGTGTGCAGAGCCGGGCTTCGAAGCGGCGTGTAATCCGGATGCTGTCGGTGCTGGTGCTGGAGTTCTTCGTGTGCTGGACGCCGTTGTACGTGCTGCACACGTGGACCGTGTTCGACGCGCATGCCGCATACAGCCGCGTGCCAGCGGGCGCCTTCGCTGCCGTCCACCTGCTGGCCTACGTGTCCTCGTGCTGCAACCCCATCACGTACTGCTTCATGCACGACAAGTACCGACAGGCGTTCCGTAACGTCCTCGCCTGCTCGAGCGCCGCGAGTCGCAGGCGCCGGCGGTGGTCCTCGACTAAGAGCCACGACCGCTTTGTCTCCCTCAACAGCATCTGCAGCAACGGCAAGAACGCTAGCGGTATGTCATTAGCCACTTTTCTTTCTTGTTTTGTTTCATTAACGTGAAAGCCTTAGGTGCCTCATCAAATGTGATTATTTACCGGCGTCCCTCGTCAGAGGCGTCAATACGAGTGATGCGAAAAATGGCGTGACCTAGGTCAATGGGGTCGTGAAACGAAACTCAAACTTCCCAGTGGCAATTTTTCCGGCTTCAATTAGGATTAGACAAACTGACCGCGAAACATTTCAGCACAATGTGCAATCTGTAAATATTGATGCACGCCTGACGTCACGCTTTTTGGGGGGCTCATTAGTGACCACGCGGCCCCATTGGCCGCTATAGGAACTAAGATGTGACCTTGGTGAAAGGTCAAAGTAAGAGAAGTTACGAACAGAGCGTTAGCTATATAATTAGTTCTAAAGTAATATATTTATAAAACCCAGAAAAGCAAAAAAATAACACAGCAGTTCTTGCGCTCTGAGTTGTTCTCTGTGCGATTACAGCGAGTAATCTGCTTAATTCCACTTTCAAGTACATCCGAGTTCTGTCACGTGTGTATCCTTGCGTTCCCGCCGGTCGCTTTGGGCCTTGGCTCGGTCAGTGCAGCCAGTGCCGCGTCCCAGTTTCTAAATGCGAATGCATTTTAAGTCGGGCTATGTCCGGCATTCGGCGTTGACCGTGGTGGTGTCCACGCGCCGACACGTTCTATCTCTCCGCTCTCACTCCTTCTCCCATAGCAACAGCTGCGGGCGTGCGCGCTTATCCTCACCCCTAGCAACCGGAGCATGTGGTGCGAGAGAGTGTAGGAGAGGGTAGGCGCAGTGCTTCACCACTCCTTCTCTCGCCATTTGTTCTCTCTCCTCTCCGGCCCGCCTCACTTCCCCGTCTACTCGCGCCTCACTCCCGACCGTTCTAGGAAGTCTTCTTGTGCGCGCGTGCGCACATGAAGGCTCCTTAGACCGTTCCCTGGCTGGGCACCTCTCAAGAACACCCGGCAATGTGTGCTCGAGACGCCACTGTGAAACGCCAACGCCATGCCGAGAACGCTGGCACCCCACTCTCGTGACCGCTCGCTCCTCCCTCTCGACCGTTCGCTGGCTGGGTGCCTCTCAAGGCGATGGCAGAAGTCGGTGAAGGCAAATGTCTGACGGCAACGTTACCCTCTCACGGTGCAATAAATGCCTTCGCATTTCCTCAGGATTTCTTTCGGGGAGGTGGGGCATTTTTTTCTTTTGTTGCATCAGGTACTGTTTACTGCCTGTTCTGGGTGGCTTAGTGCTCGCGTCAACCATGTGCGTCGTGAGACAGGTCCGCGCAACTTATGAGAGTGTAAACAACGTTCGCTTTCACAAGCTGCCCACAGCGCAGAACAGTGAGCCACAGCGCAGAACAGTGTTTCTACGAGCTATCAACCGCGATGGTTGCGATGGTATGGGCACACAGAGTAGAGGCATGGTCGGGGCATCCACAAATGGAGGTTCTGACACGCGGTCTCGATACGAGTGCTTCCAGGGCGCAGGCTTCTTCGCCGTTGTCGCCGTCACCGCTGTCTTTCTCTGACGACGGCCGATCTCGCACTCGCATTGGTGCGTCAGCATGTGGCTCTAAGTTCAAGAAACGACTCCACTCTAGCAGACGGTGGTGTAGTTCGGGATGATCGGCCATCTACGCTGCGTGTCCGTGGCGTTATGGTATTGTTATAGTGGCGACGGCCCCGTAATCGAAACAGTATGATACTACAAACCATGGTCCACTAGTGCTCAAATACATCGCAGCGTTGTCACGTTCTGTCGCCGACAGAGAGTCTTTATTGGCTGTCTTAAAGACGTCAGCTGCACGGTTGACGGGGATGGGAGCTGGGACACCGGTATTGTGGTTTTTAAGTTATTCAGTAAGCCCAGACGATCAAACGAGTCGAGCTATACTATTGAATGGACGGCCAGGATTATGAATACTAACGTACTTGAAAATTTTCTGAAAACGTTTCACAGCCTCTTTAAATCACCATATGATGCCATCCGTGACGTCACAGACCCCCCAAAATTATGACATTATTGCGTCATCGGGATATAATGTTACATAACTTCACTTGATGACGTTATCACTTGACATAGTAGATTGGTCAAAGGTAGGGCTATTACGGAAGCTAGTGCAAAAGCAGGTGAGGTGCCTGCGATCCTGGAGGCAGTAGAAAAGTACGTTAGGTGCAGAATACTTTACGAGTGTGCAGGATTAGTGCATTGACTTCGAGGGAAAAAAAGATATCTTTCACTTCACTTTCCAATCGTCCAAGGTGAATGCAGTCGTCTTATGTGAGTGCCCTTCGAGTTTTAATTAAGCATTCTTGGACTGGATCTTCAAGGAAAAGAATCTGCGGGGGTGTTGGTGACCACGCGAAAGCGCAGCAGCAATAACAAAATTAATTAAATAAGAAGCAGTATGACGGGATAGACACAATTTGCAGTGGGCGCAGAGATGAAGATGAAACAGCTGGACACATCATACATTTCTGTAAACAGCGTCACCCTATTCCAATGCAATGAGGCTGAATTTTCCAAAGCTTTCAAATTTAGGGACAGTTGAAGGAAAATGAACTCTAAACAGGTGTAAATATTCAAAATGAGGTTATTTTATAGGTGGCTAAAATTAAGCTTTGAGTGAAATGGAGTCCTGAACTACATAAAGTTAGTTCTTCTGAGTTAAGGCTAGGTCAAGTGAACCGCTGCCCAACCAAAATGGTGCAACCACGTTCATTCATCCATACTGTATAAGCAAGGGAAAGCAGCCAGCTGCTAAAGCAAATGGATATTTGGTCCCAAATGAAATCAGGCCAGTACACTTGCCGCAGCAAGTATGCATATCACAAAACTACGCAGAGGGTAAGCAGTGCACTGCAGTGGCTACAAATCACACCAGACCATGCAAAACAATGTTAGATCTGCGTAAATCATGCCGAGAATAACATAGCCATTCAAGTATCCAGATTAACAATTTATAGCTTGAAGATAAAACTAACAGAGAGCCTTACGCATATAGCTCAGACGACTCCAAGATGAAATACATATTATTTCTCTTCTCAGACAATGTATTAATCCTGCCCCCCCCCCCCCTCGAAAGCTTTCTGCGCCTAACGTGGTTCTGCTTGCCTCCAAAATCAGAGGCATTGCATTTTTTTTTGCGCTTCACCTGGTTTTATATTGCCTCCGTGATCGGTTCACTTTTGACCGAGCGATGAAGTCATGTCAAATTGCGATAACATCACAAACTAGTGACACGACGTCATGATGGCGCCATCATTGCGTGATGATGAGTTGTAGCGTCGCTCGGGTTGACGCTGACACCGCCAACGACGGTGCATGGTTAATATCCGCGTTTGATGAAGCAGTAAGACTTTCGTTTTAATATGCGCAATCGCACACGTAACTAGCGAACGTTTAATAATTATATTCTGGATATTAATTCTAGGGGTCGGACGCAAATCTAGCTGGGCATGTCATTTTCAATAAAGCCGCCCTTGTAAGAGCGTCGCGAAGAAACATTGAACTTCGGAAAGTCCCCTGTAAGACACCCCTTAAGCGTGAAATACCTGATCGCTTAGCTCTTATCAGAGCACCTTTAATGAAAAATTCCTCTCTCAGCTAGAGCATGTCGAGCACGGCCTTAATTTACTTCTATTCTTCAAACACTTAACAGCGATCATTAAAAATTTAATTAAGGCGAAATTACAAATTCTTGAGAAGTTCATCTGCAGCTAGACGTCCTTAACCTGGAGGCTAGAATAGAAACGACGTTGCCACGCTGCTTTGTATAAATATAATGCTAAGAACGATGCAATTAAAGTAAAATCCCTCACGTAGGTATACAATGACTGCATAACGCCTGAGGCAAGAGAGATGAAAAACTTTTCAGCGGGGGATTTCTCTGGAGACAAAGTTTGGACAAGTGTTTTCTTTCGACAAGGCCGGTTGTCGAAACGCTGGTTCTAGTGGCACCTTGTGGTCACGCATTTTTTTCTATCTCTTCAATCTTCGATCTCCCTTTGAAAAAAACAGAGCCGAATTTTTTTTTAATTTAACGTAAGTAGCTTGAATGGGAGGAGCCTGATTGCAAGTTCCAGTTGGAGAACAAGAGCTATCTTCAGTGCTCCCTCAAGTGCGGCTGCCTTTCAGTGGTCGAACAGGAGTAAAGGCACTGTCATCCAGCCGTCGTTGAGAATGGGAGCGCTTCTGCTGCGCCGAGAGCAGCCGGAAGCAGTTTGTAGTGCGCTGGTCTGAAGAGCGCAGTATGCGACAAGTCATATTTATTTATTCATTTTATTTATACGAAAACCCTAATTGCCCAAAGAGGGCATTACATAAGGGGGATGCTAGCGTGAGTACAAAACGAGGTGTGTGTATATAATGGTAAACCATTAACACAAAAAACTGCGAAATAAATTAGGTGACATGTATTTCGAGGTAAACAGTATGTGCTGTCATCACTCTCGCTAAGTAATGTGTACAGATTAAAAAAAAACGATAGAGCACAATTCAGAGGAGGTAACAAGAAAGTCTGGAACAAAAATACACAAAGCAAAGTACAACAGTAATGAATCATGACCATGTTACGTTATACAATTTTTTTGCGTGGGTGATGTTTTCGTTTTATTTTACAAGATATGCGAATATATTTAGGCTAAGGAGGGTTTCCTTCCAAAAACACTATTAGGGCAGCTTGAAATAAAGTTGATTTTGAAGTGACACGATAGATGAGGGCAAAAAATTTCATTTTGTAATCGATAATACTAACGGCGAATTTCGATATAAGTTCGTACGAGCAAATATTGTTTTTATTTTATGAACATGGTCTCGCCGAGTAGATACATTGGGAGAAAGCAGAAGGTTAGCTCGAGCGAATGTGGTGTTACCGTGATAAAGATTGTGAAAAAATACCAACCGTGCGAATTTTCTGCGCGAGCCAAGACTGACAAGATTTAGCATTTTCTTCAAGGCAGATACACTTACTTAATGAAAATATGA